TGTATGTGTGTTTTGCTGGTGGTGGAACTCAAGGCCTTGCACATGCTAGGCAGGTGCAAGCGCTTTACCACTGAGCCACACACCTCCAGCTTTTTGTTACTGATTTTAGTACTTTCATAAGGGTATTAAAGTTGGAAGTACTGGAGTTTGCATTTTCTAGTACTTTCTCAGAGGTCTGATTTATAACATACTGTAAAGGAAGTAAATATATATAAGCCCAATTTTTTAAATAAATTAACAAAGTTGTTTCCAAACCTCCATTACCAGCAATATCTTCAACTTATTTGTCAATGATAGATTGACATTTTATATGCTTTTTAAATAGGGGAAGGTGAAAAATGGTAAATTGACCATTATTACAGGTAAGAGGTTTTAGTCTACCTCTCTTTTATAGGAGTTTGCCCTCCAGATGCTTTAGAGGGAACTCAAATAAGAATATTTTTTCAAGAGGCAGGATGATACCTCCTTATAAAAGCGACAATCAATTTGTACATTTAAATTGCCAAAGTTTAAAAAATTTTTACATCCCTATGCTAAACCTGCTGCCCCATCCACCTCAATTCAGAAAGGGCTCAGCCTCCACCCCAAGCTACAGGACCTGGGGCATTTTATTTCAGGTGAGGGCCTGTAGGGACACTGGTGGCCCCAGGATGGAGTGTGTGTGTTGGGGGTGGGGAGGTGGCCAGACAGGATCACCCATTTCCTATCAAATCACAAACAGTATCTATGGGTTGAGATCCAGGTTATACCTATTTGGTATAAGGTCTTTTGTTGTTATTTTAATTCCCCAAGTTATATCTCAAATGTTAGGAAATGCCGCTAGACCATCTCACTTCAGAAGGTTTTTGTACATACCAGACTGGTAGATTGAATTATTAATCTACTTTCTGTTCAAAAAACACCAGCAAGGGTTTTTTGTTTTTTTGTTTGCTGAATTCATCATTATCCCATTAAGGACTGACAAATTGCTTGGTAAGATCAGGATTACCTTTTCTTCTTTTCATTTGCTGATAAATTTCCAAGATGCATTCTGCTGTTGCAAGTTTCTGTAATGTTTTTTTCTGTGATACCTTTCTATTGTCTGAATTTAAATTAAAATGTTTTTAATAATATCTGTTTGGCAGTGTGTTGCTTTGCTTTAATAAATCTTCAGCATTTAGAGACAGAATAGAGGGGAGCCATGTGCATGTTTAAGAGGTGTACCTGGAATGCACCCCAGACCTTCCCAGAAGGCCCTGTCACTAAGCTGCCCTGGAGTTTATCTATGGTACAGGGAGACTATGCTGCACCTGACTGTGCTGGTTGACAACATTGAATGTGCTTCATTCCAGGAAGCATCTCTTAACATTTGTTTAAATTTTTATTAAAAGATTCGAATCTGAAATGTTGCTAGCAGATAAACTGCTTAGATAGGAATTTGGGATCAAAATAGAGTCTTTTCGCAAGAAATGCTCACAGAGCAAACTATCCCAGGTACTCATGTCTGGGCTCTGGTCTCCCCAACATACCAGCTTCCTGAGTCTCACTTTCCAACGCTACCTTATCTGACCCTTAGGACAGTCAGGAAGAGAGGGAGGAAGACTTCCCACCTGCCTCTTTGTTTCTAAGACTCCCTGCCATCCCTTTTCTCTGATCTTCAGACTTAACCTTATTTTTTTTTGTTATAGCAGTTTTTATCTTTCTTGTTGTTATTTCACAAAGAGACTGTCCTACCACCCACTTTTAAATCTTGAGTTGTCTCCCTCTTCCTTGAGAATTTGCCTTCCTAGGCATCCCTGTTCTATTCATTCTTGGTCCTATAACAACTGCACCTGTACCTAAAGCAATGAACAGTTACCACAAGTGTCAGGGACTGGATTTATCCTCCTGTCTTAAACAACTAGAAAATGCAGAAAAATAAAGGGGATCAGGTAAATGGAAAAGAGAAAAACAGTTCAGAAGACAGTGAAATTAAAACATGGTTATTTAAGAAGTTCAATAAAATTGATGAATCACTAGGCACAGTGATCAGGAAAAAGAGAATGAAAGAAAAGACTCAAATTAGCTATATAAATAAAGTGGGAGATGTGGTATTACTGCATCTTCTATAGATAATAAAATAATAATGCATAAATACTATAAACAATGTTTTGTCAATAAATTTGACAATTCAAGTAAATGTTCATAGCATTCTTATTCAGAATCACTCCCAAATTGGGGGAAAAAAAATCCCCAATGTCCATAAATTGATGAATGAAACTAAAATGTAGTCTATCCGTACAATGGCACCATTTGGCAATAAAAAGGAATGAAGTACTAATATATGCTACATTACAAATGAACTTTTAAAATTATGCTAATAAGCCAGTCACAGGGAATTGCATGTTGTTTTATTCCACTTATATGTAATGTTTAGGCAAATCCATAAAAAAATATATACAGAAAGTAAGTAATAGTTGCTTAACCTTGGAGGAGGAGGAGGAGAGGGAGGAGGAGGAGGGTGAAATTACAATTAAGAAGTATGGTGTTTCTTTTGGGGGTGTTGACAATATTACAAAATTGATTGTGGCAATGCTTGCATATATTAAAAAGCTATTGAGTTAGACAAGTTAAATATGTGAATTATATGATATGTGAATTAATAAAGCTGTTAAAAATCAATACTATATGAGGCAGAAAATATAAAGAAAAGAAGGGAAGGGAAAAGTAAGAAACAAATAGAAAGGTGAATCAAATTGAAAGATGATAGATTTAAACTCAATGGTATTGGTAATCATACTAAATATAAACAGTCTAAATATAAAGAACCTTTATGTAAAGGCAGAGATCATCAGATTTTGTTAAAAAAGCAAGAGCCAACTATATGCTCCCTATAAGAAATCCACTTTATAAACGTACAAATTTTTAAAAATAATTTTTATTAGTTGTAGATGGACACAGTATCTTTATTTCATTTATTTTTATGTGGTGCTGAGGATTGAATCCAATGCCTTACAGCATGCAAGGCAAGCACTCTACCTCTAAGCCACAATCCCAGCCCTAAAGGTACAAATTTGAGAAGCATAATTGAATGGAAATGATATGCCATGTAAACATCAATCAAAAAAAGATTGATGTTTACATGGCATATCATTTCCATTATTAAAATATTGGACAAGCTAGAGTTCAGAGAAAATAATATTACCAGGAATAAAAATAAAAATAATTTCATAAAGGAGTAAATTCATCAAGAGGACCTAAATATTTTTGCACCTAATAATAAAGACACAAAATGCATTAGGTAAAACTCAATAGGCAAATTCACATGTGGTTACAGATGCAATATCCCATTCTCCATTATAACTGATAAAAACAGTAGAATGGAAATGAGGAAGGACATAGAAGACCTGAGCCACAGCGTCAGGCAGCCCCAGCCTACTACTGTCTGTTGGACACCCTACCTAACAACAGCAAAACCCACATCGTTTCCTAGTGGATTGGAACATTTTCCAAGACAGAATATAACCCTGGCCCAAGAACAAGGCTTTAAACATTTAAAAGGGTTCAAGTCATACAAAGAATGTTTTCTAATCACAAAATAACTAAATTAGAAATAAAAGTAGAAAAAAGTCTGGAAGTTTCCCAAATACTTTTAAAACTAAATAAGCAGTTACAAAAAAAATCAATGAGTGAAAGAAGAAATCAAAGGGAAATTTAAATGTATAAAGAGAAAGACAAAAATAAAAGTCAAAATTTAGGATTAGCTAAGTCAGTGCTCAGAAATGTAGAGAAGAAAAAGCTATATTAAAAAGAATGTCACAAAATAATGACCTCATCTTCCACATTCAGAAATGTGAAAAAAAATATACCAAACTAAAGTTGAAATTATCAGAAGAAAGAAAATATTAAAGGCAAGAGAAGAGTTTGATGAAACAGAAAACAGGGATCCAGTGAGAAAATTAAAAGCATTTTAAATGAATGAAAAGATAAGCTATGGACTGGAAGAAAACTTGCAATTACATAATCTGTCAAAGAAACTTCGAAAAATTCAACAAGGGGGAAAAAAGGAATGGAGGCAATAGATTTTAAAAGATACTTTGTCAAAGAAAATAAATATGCAAAGTGCAACACCATTAATTAGGAAAAAGCAAATTAACACCACAATGAGTTTCCACTGCCAACTTGTTATAAAAATGTGAAAAAATTCTTGTCTTTACTGTAAATTCAAACTACTCTTCCACTGGATGATGGCAAACTCAATCATCTAATGTTGACCAGGATAATTAAATTTCTTGAGAACTGCCCCATCCAGGAGGCTTACCTAGTTCCCCTCAAGCAAGCAAGACCTCTGCTCCCTCCTTCCTGTCCCTGGGCTGAGATTCAGCCCTCTGTTCCTGGCCCTGGTTGTTCAGCCTCTGAGGGGACAGTTATCAGTCTGCTCATCCCCCCTTTTCTTATAGTTTCTGTGCAAGATGCCATGAACTGAAATATTCCCACCAATCCTGGCCAGAATTAGCTCCTCTCCATCCCAGACTCACCAGCTAACAGTCTGGAGGCTCCAGCTTGCGGTGGAGCATCCCACCCCTTAATCAGCCCAATCTCTTTCCACCTCTTCAGAATTTGAACAGTTCCTACATATCTGAGCAAGATGAACTCTGACCTCCGCAAGGTGACAGTTCCTGGCTCCCTGCAGAATCTTCTGGGACTGTTCTCACACTGCAATATCTTCAGAAAGGCTCAAGCTGACGGTGCTTGGAACGGTCTCCCCTGTCTCCACGGTTTACTTGACACATTCCTTCCAAGCCCAGAAACGGAAGCATCCTTCCCAGGAGAAAAGCGGTCATCAGGGCCAGAGGCATCTGCAGCACCCAGAATGTTGTCAAGGCAGCTCTGTGAAGGCACAGGCCCTGGCCACCCAACACTAGGTGTCACTCTGATTCAGCCTAAAGGGCACTCCCTGGAGGACCCCAGGGTCTGGAAAGTGCAGGGCAACCAAGTCTGCCTTGGAGACAATGTCTTTTTATAAGCTTTTTATAAGCTTTTTATAAGGCTTCTTGAACCAAGGCTGCAAGTGGGGATTCTTTGTTGCCTGCCTTTTGCAGGCTCAGCTCTTCACAGTCTGTTTGTGGTTTCTTGAGGTCTGTGACTTAGTATTTTCTTCCTCTGCTGTATACAGAAGGCAGCAACTTCCCGTTCTTCCAGATCCAGGCAAGGCTGTCTCAAGCCCTGGAGGAGAGAGAGAGAGAGGTAAGTGTGGTGCTGGGGGACACAGTGCAGGGTCTCAGTGTCAGCTCCCTGGAGCTCTCTCTGAGGGGTTCCTCCAAGTGGGGCTGGTGCTGCTATTCTGAATCTCTACCCCTAATTTGGTGGAGATCAAGGAGTAATGTTGGAGGGGGGTTCTCTGAACTGAGCCTACACAGCCTGCGGACTGGGGATGTCTGTTTGTCATAGGGGAATGTTCTGAGAATGTATAGAGTTCTTAAAAATACTCTCTCCACTCCAGATTCTGCCTCCCTTTAGATCGTGATTTATGCAAAATATCCACAGGTCTTTAGGTCTACATGGAGCCAGACACAGGTGCATGTCAGAAGCACTCACCTGACTCTGGGGTTCACTTGCTCTCAAAGGGTCTGGAGATGGGGAGGGGCGTTCTTGCCTCCAGTGATTGCTGCAGGGTCAGTAGAAGGCTGGGGGATTCAGCCAAGGCTCTTGGGCACCAAAACAGCTTCATGGGGCCAGTCTGAGCTTTTGTCTCAGCTTTCCTTCTATTCAAGGGACTCTGGGGTATGGACCTGAAGGATGCACATTTTCAAGTGCTCTTCATAGGTCATGTCTAGTCTGTGCACTCTTTGAACTTAACTGGTACAAAGTTTCTTAAACTCAAAATGAAAATTCTCCCTGGATTTTTTTTTTTTTTTGCACTTTCATGCTAAAAATCTGAGGCTTGTTGGAGTTTACTTTCTAATAAAATTGACAGAAAAATAAATAGAAGAAAGAAAATTACAAACTGTGATGAGGGTAACGAAGGAATCATAGAAGATGCTAAAACAGAGGAAACTGGGTCTGGTTGAGTTAAGAGCCAGATGGTCCCTGACTGATGATGGTTTGACTCAAAATATTTCAACTTTACGAAGGTGCCATAGCAATCTGCATTCAACAGAATCTTCTCAAATTTTGAATTTTGCTCTTTTCTCGGGCTGGCATTCTGTGGTGCCATTCTCTCTCCAGGTGCAGGGAAGTGGCAGAATTGGGTTTGGCCATGAGATTGCTAGGGTGCACAACCAAGCACAGCGTGTATGGTACTGCTAAGCAACGGAGGGGAGGTCTGGTAGGTCAAGTGTATGAAACACATTTCCATTTAGTGATATTTTCAATTTAAAAGGGGTTTATAGTTGTGCAACTCCATCGCGAGTTAAAGAACACCTATGCAGAAGGTGTTCTGTCCCTTTTGAGATGGCAGGACTCGAGTTCAGGTCTAAAGGACAAGAAGCAGTGGAAGTGGAGGGCAGATGGGTCTCACACAGGGCGAGCAGCTCACATAATGGCCCTAAGGAAGGTGTTCTTTTAAACATGCAAATACTGTCCCTCTTCAGCTTCCACTTAGAATATGGAGAGCTGGAAAGATGGTTGCTCCCACTCTAAGAAAAGTCAATATGCAAAATCATAACTTTTCTTGAACCCATTAGAGAGCTGAGTTTGAAGCTCCTCTAGTATGAGATCTAATAAAGGACAGACACCTCACCAGGTGTGGCACTGCATGCCTGTAATCCTTAGTGACACTCTATCTCAGAATAAATATAACTTGGGGGGAAAAAAAAGACTGGGCATGTAGCTCAGTGCCCCTGGGCTCAACACTGAGTACTCCCCTCACCTCAAAAAAACAAGCAACTCCAAGGAGAGACAGTGTAAGCACTGGTGTATGTCAGGCACAGCATGATAGGATGGGAGCAGCATGGGGCTGCCATACGAATGGATAAGATTTCAGTTGAAATTTTGAGAAATCATCCACGGACAAGTGTAGAATCCATGGAAACCACAACACAGGAAGTCCTCATCTACTGGTAGCCATAGGTCTCGGACCTCACTGGGTACTCAGGAGGAAGACTCGGGTCAGGGCAGGTGCTGGGAACACCTCCCTGGGTGCAGCCACCACTTCCATAAAGGCAACAATCCCCGCCCAGATCCATGTCCTGTAGGGGACGGGGCCTCAAGCCACTGAGGGAAGAAGGGTGAACTAAGGCTGAGATGACACCAGCAAGTTGGACACCTCTGTATCTACAGCAACTCCACCCACAAAACTCAGCTCAGGCCAGCTCCAGACTGTCCACTCCTCAGGACACATAGGCCCAGGACAGATGGTCTACCACACAACGTCAAGTTTTCGATGGAAAATTATGAGACATGCAAAAAAAAAAAAAAGAGAGAAAATGAAAAACAAAACAAAACAAAAACACTGTCAAGAAAAATAATAATTGTTAGGTGCAGGACAGGCTGAATAAGTTGTCTGCAGGGCATGCCAAACAAAGTTAGCTGCAGGATGACCTGGCTTCTCAAACCCTCTGTCTGGTTCTTTATCACCTGTTTGCTTCAAACCCAAATGCCCAAGCCCCCGCTCAAGGCTGAACACTTAACCCCCTTGTGTGCCAACAAGGCAGCTTGAAAACCCAGGGACCCTATTAGATTTGGGCTATAAAATCTCCCTCCTGCCACACCCCTCTCTCTTGCTCTCTCTCTCTCCTCTTTCTCTCTTTTCGCCCCTGTTGCACTGCTGCAATAAAGATCTCTTGGTTTCTCTGAGTGTTGTGGTCACTTTCCTTTCAATAATCATTTTTAAAAAGCCCAGACTCTGACATGAGCCACTTATTGAAATTGTCAGACAGGAAATTAAAATAATTATGATGAATATATTCATGCTTTAGTGGAAAAGCAGGCAAAAATGCATGGACAAATTGGGAATCTCAGCAGAGATTAAAAACTATTAAAAACAATAAATGGGAATGCTAGAAGTAAGAGAAAATATGGTAACAGACATGGAGAAGGCTTTGACAGGCTCAGTCACAGACTAGATACAGCTGAAGAAGTAATCAGTGAGAGGGAAGGTCAGCTGATAGAAATTAGCCAAACAGAAACAGGAAGTCAGGTGACAGGTCTGGGGAAGGAACAAAGTTGAGTTTGTTAAGCAGAAGAGAGTATCCTTGTAAATATCTGCCATTTACCACGTCCCCATGGCCACTTACCCTGAGACTTGCAGCTTCTGCAGCCCTCACAGTCTTGAAGACAGCTTGGAGGAGCCACTGGGCATTGTCCACCAGCAGCTCCTCAGAGGACCTGCTTCTTGCCAAGGAGGCCTTTACACTTGGGAGTGTACAGAAGAAAAGCCAGTCTTACACTGGGCAGGATGGCAATTTCAACTAAATAATAAATGCTAGAAGGTTTTACAACATGAGCCTCTTCCAGAAAACTGGGGTGCCCTGGGGGACCTATTTGAAGGAAGAATGCTCTAAAGGTTAATTTCACATTTTAAACTGACATTTTTATTTTAATGCTAAAAAAGTGTGACTCTCATAGAATCTATAAATTAACAAGAAGAATATTTTTTAATGAAAATAACTGAGCTGATGTAACACAACCAATGCAACTGCCTCAGATAATGAAAGGGAATAAGAAATTTTGTATAGAATTGTATTCAAGTCTTAGATTTAAACTTGTGATGGAAGGTCAGACTATGTAAATTGACATTTCAATAGTATTTGTTTTAAATTGAATATAACTGATTTTAGTCAGGTCATTTTCTACCACTGAAAATAAAAATGCTGTGGAACTTAAGTAACTCACTTTGGCAAAATTGCAAGACCTCCGGGTCCGTTAGAAGGCGGAGAGCTTGATAAATGCACCCGGAATACTCATGTTGTTACTCATGTGGTTCTGCCTTTTTCCTTCCCTCCTCCCTCTTTCTTTCCCTTTTCCCATGTGTTGGGGTGTGGGAGCCACTCGGAATGACCACACCTTCCAGTCCTGAAGCAAGGATAGCAAGGTGTGGCTTCAGGTGTAGGTGCTTGGCTTGAGTTACACTCACCTCTCCCTTGTAATCCTATCCCTTCTGCCCTTTTATGGATAGAACTCCCTAAGAACAGTGTCCTCCCCAAATAAAAAAGGTCACTTCCAAATGTGTTTCTCTCTCTCTCTCTCTCTCTCTCTCTCTCTCTCTCATCATCCTCTCATGACTTTCTCTTGCTCTCCCTTTTGGGGGAAAGGAGAGTGGGGGAAAGTCCTGAAGCTTAGGTAAAGGTAAATCATGTCTGTGTTTTATTTTGTGTCACCCCATATTCACACGAGCGACCTTAGTTCAGTCCCCTGCGGTGGATGGGGGTGGCACTGGAGGTTGAACCCAGGCCCTCTGCATGCTAAGCATGTTTTCTGATGCACTGACTCCTGAGTATCAGGGGGACTGCCCCCCGAGAGTTAGCCAATTTCCAGACGGTAATGAGTCACCTGCAGACACACCTTCCATGTGTGAACCCACCCTCCCAGAGCCCACACCCCTGCCTCCTCCTTTACCTGCTTCTCCACTCCAGGCCACACCGACCTGCCCTAATCATTCCAAGGCCAACTCCCATACTCAGAGCCCCTGAAATCCTTCAAACTCACCAGCCCTGGACGTGCCAGCCTGCTTGTGCTGCCTGGCCTGTGCTTCCTGTGAACACCACGGCACCTGCTCTTGCCGATGGCTCCCCTCGCTCCTCTACCAGGGTCTGCCCCTGGTGCTTCCTTGTGCGGTCCTGGGTGGCATGCTGTGCCTCCTGCCTCTGGCTCTGTGAGCATTGAACTGCCTTCTTCACCTGTGTGTTTACCTTCTGTCTACCTGGTCAAGGCAAATCCCAGACCCTTATAACAATACCCATATATGAAATGCTAAAATTAAGTAGAAAAATGTTGGCAGCTAATCTGGAGAAAAGTAGCTAGGTTTTATTTGCTAATTTTAAAACAATTTACGTACCTGGTTTGGTTGATATTTACTTTTATACCTCAGAATAATTGACAGTAGCTCTAACTACCGAGCTTTCTATAATGTAAGGGACTCGGGTGGAAAGGGAACAATCTTGTGGTCTTGACCACATTCTGTACTACAACAGGAAGCTGTTGTGAGGAGACAGTCAGTGGGAACTGGTCAGTTGCAGTCTGGCTCCGGGCTGGCATGGTCTTCCTGGAGGATGACATCTATGCACGTCCATGATCCTCTAGATTACCATTCACGAACAGCCAGCATCGTGAATGACAGGGACATATTCTGAGAATGCGTTTGGGTGGTTTTGTCATCATGTGGCCATCAGAGGGGACTTACACAAACTGAGATGGCCATAATGTCACTGGGGGAGACAATTTTATGGGACTGCCTTTGTCCATGCAGTCCGTCATGGGCCAGAATGTCATTCTGTATGGCTTGACTGTATTGTTAAAGTTAACTGTCTTTCATTCAATAAAATAAGTATAAAAACAAATAGAGAACTAATGGTCAAAATTTAGATGTGGTTATAATATAAAGAGATCAGTTGTTTTTGTTTGTAGATTTACCCAAAGTGATGTGTACCAGCAATATGGTGTTTGGAAGGGAGGGGGAAGGAATGTAAACTCTTGGAGAATAAAAAATCAACAAATAGAAGAGGAATCTCACCTCTTTGGGTCTTGAAATAGCAGAGCTTAGCGTTTTGTGCCAAGCAGCCTCTCACCTGGAGATGATGCGGAGCTGGCTGCTCATGGTTTGAATTTGCTCTGCCGCACAGCGAAGCTCCTGGGAACATCTCTGATCTATGCAGTTCTTAGCAATGATAAGAATAAGTCTGGTGAAGTTTTGTCCAGAAGTTGCAATTTTCTTAGCAGAGGTGATGAGCTGATCTTTGGTCTGCATCAAGGAAACAAAAGTGTTAAAACTAGGTAAATATTGCCCTCACGATTTGTCTCCAAGATGTTGGTGGCAAACTGCAAAGCCTGTCCAAAACTTGCTGGGCCCAAGTTCCTTCGGTTCCCCAAGTGAGCATGCTTCAGTGTAAACCACCATCTCCTGAGCCTCCCTGGGTTGGTCAGAAGCTGACCCCTGGCACCCAGCAGAATGTGGTGGCCTTGGCCCATCTGTCTGCATGGGACTGCGGAAGGGAGGGTTGCCTCCTGGCCATGGTCTCACCCACTGTCCCCAAGAGCTGTGCCCTGCTTTTAGCTGTCAGCAGGTGGCAAGGCATGTGTGAGTCCTCAAGAAGGGACAGGTATGGGGACATCCAGGCCGGAGCAAAGGTGCAGAGTCACATAGAGCTCTGCTCTAGAGTGCTGCTGGGGAGCTCTGCTATAGAGTAGAGCTCTGCTGGGGACTGGTGATTAATAGGCTGAAAATTTAACCTTTTTGAAGTAAGTTTGAGAAGAAACCTCATTTTCCTTTCACAGAGATTTGGACTAAATCAACAGTTTTGGTGAGTTTTTTTTTTTTTTTTTGGGGGGGGGAGGTATCTACCGGGTTTTGAACTCAGGGGCAGTTGTCCACTGAGCCCATCTCCAGCCCTATTTTGTATTTTTGTTTAAAGACAGGGTCTCACTGAGTTGCTTAGCACCTTGCTCTTGCTGAGGCTGACTTTGAACTCCAGATCCTCCTAGGGTTAGGGGACTCACTCCCTGGCCCTCTCTCCCCTGTGCATGCTGCCCCAGCTTCTCTGGTCAGAAAGAATGCAATGTTAGGGGTTTCAGCGTGAGAGGCTTAGCTCATGAGAGGGGTTTGCAAATCTAATGCTAAGGGAACAGGTGCAGGTATGTCCAGCCCAATGTTTAATTCAGAGCCATTCCCAGCTCCTTGCCAGCCTTTGGAGAGCTCTTGGGAGACAGGAAATGCCTTGTTGAAACACAGGACGGCAGCAGCTGTTCCCAAATGAGCTGAACCTGCACTGGTCACCTGTACCGTGTAGTTCCTCTGGTCTTTAAAGATCAATGAGGCCACCCCAAAACACCCACTTCTTTAGGCCCTCCTAGGAGGATACCCAGGTCTTCACACTCTGGCAATTTGTTTACGACATGCCGCCCCATTGGCAAGTAAGTCAGGAAATGCATCTTTTGCTTTTTTTTGGATAAGGTTTGGGTCTAGGCCGCTGTTTGGTCCATCAGCCTTCTCCCTGTCCAGAATGCCGATGGACTGCCAGGTTTCAAGGCTATTGGTCTTTGAGATAAGGAGGAAAGGGAATCCTGGAAGGATAAGGGAGGATGGATGAGAATGCCTCCCCCCCTCCCCGCAATTTCCTGAGGGTGTTTTTATTTTGCATGTGTTACAGCTTGCAGCCCTAACCTGGACGTGACTGTAGGAATGGCTAGTGTTCTCTGCTGACACACAGAAGGCCTTTGGCCAAGGAAGATTTAAGATCTGAAGTTAGGGAAATTCCTTGCAAGAGCACTTCCTTGTGTGCAGGGGAAAGGTTCAAACTGGGAGATCAAGCTGGATATCCCGCCACCCCCTTGCTTCCTGGAACTCCAGCTCCTCCCCCCCTGCGGGGATGCGGAGCTGCTGGTAAGGCTGCCTCTGATCACATGGTGACATCTGACTGCACTGCTTCAGGAAGTCCTGGTCCTCCATGTGCCTAGCCAGTGCCTCCCAACCAGCCCTTTAAACTCTTCTTTCTCGCCCTAGAGCACAGATACTGTGGCTGCTAAAGTCCAGGATCAGGACTGGGGTCTGGGGAGCCGGGGGGTCCCCTGCACAGGGATTCTCTTTCACCAGGTGCTGTCTTTCCTGTTAAAAGGGGGTCCTTTGGTTTTCCTTTTGTCATCTCCTCCATATTTACCACAGGGAACTCAGTGGGTAGAGGACCATATTTTGGGGTCCTTAGCCACCCTGCCAGCACCCAAGTTCTATATAAATCAGAATATCTGAGATGCTTAGAAAGAAAAGTCAGCAAGAGGACATAGCTACCCCCACTGTGCTCTGATGACCTGGGGTCACTGTTCCAGTGAGGGGCTGACCAGGAGTAATGGGCAGGGATCGGGAACAGGGACAGGACAATGAAGGTCTGAGGCTTGGGTGTGGAGGGGGCTGCTGGGTTTGAGGTCACCTAGCCAGGTACACCCACCCTTCTCTTTTGGACCCTTCACCCTAGACTGAGAGCGAGGCCCACAGGGCTCAGCCGTGGATTTGGGAGCTGCTGAATGCCGTAGATCCACACCGGAGGCTTTCTACGAGGCTCTCATTGCCATCTTATATCTTCCTTTCACACACTCAGCAAATGGACTTCTTATTTTTTTCCTTGCAGGTGTGTTGATATCAAAGAATGCTTACTTCAATGTAACCAAGCAGAGGGATAAAGAGAATTAGAATAGGCCTCATATAATTGAAGTTGGCCCCCCAAGGCTGGTGGGAGCAGGGTCTCCCTCCAGGATGAGTGGCCCTGAGTGGTTAGCCTTCAGGAGGTGGCTGCTTTGGGGATTTTTTTTTGGGGGGGGGGCAGGGTGGTACTGGGAATTGAACCCAGGGGTTTTAAACCACTGAACCACATGCCCAGCCCTTTTTATTTTTTATTTTGAGACTGCGTCTCCTTAAGTTGCTGAGGTAGACCTAAAACTTGTAATCCTCCTACTTCAGCCTCCCAAACCACTGGGTTTACAACTGTGCACCACCACTCTGAGTTTGCCTTGGGGAGTTTTAAAGACATAAATAGCTCCCTTCAGCTTTTGGGAAATTATCTTCCCTGGTGCAACGTGACAAAGCCTCAGAGACCCAGCAGCGGAGGAGAGGAAGGAGGAGGTGCGGTGACATCAAGCTATTCCCAGGTAGATGATGAAGGGACTGTACAGAGATGTGAGTGCCAAGTGGTGCCACGTGCGCCCTTCCTGCAGGGAGCTGCCCAGGGTGGCCCTGGCTCTTGGAGGGCAGTGGAGGGGAGAGTAACTTCCCATGATGCCCAGGCCTCCCACCACCATGGCTGCTGATGCCCAGTACCAGGACGTGCCCGCTCCTCCTCAGGCTCTGAGCCATCAGGGACACCTGCTCCGTCATCTCCTGTGTGATCTGGGCGATTCTGCTCTCGTGGCCTGTGCTGCCATCCTGGTCCTCCTGGGGAGGCTGGTCCAGCTCAGCATGAGGTCTGGCTGCACAGCTGGGGGAGTCAGGGGAGTCGTCCTGCTGCTGTAAGAAGACAGTGCATTAACAGAGTGGCCCTGCTGGCCCTCAGCCTTAGGACCGCAGTGGCCTGCCCACTGCGTTTCCATTATGTTTTAAAGAAAGAGGAGAGGGAGTCAGGAGGGTTTCCTGATTCCTCCACATCCCAGCAGTCTTGGCCATCTACCCCAAATATTTAGGAGAATAGTGAGGGGACAGGATGATTCCCTATTAACTTGTGCTCCGTTCATCTGGGATTGGCAGAAACCGAAACCTGGTACACTTAGTTCCGGATATCATTAAAATATTAAATGTTATTTTCTTCTGTGAAGTTTTAGCCTTTGCATGGGAGAAGGATCATCTGCAGCTCCTGAAGAAATTCAAGAACTCTTCAATATTCCAACTCTGGGAAGACACTTTTGCAAAAGGACCTAACGGTTTGGTTATCAAAAACTATGACTCCCCGCCACCAACACACACACAAGAGCTTGGTGGGGGTTGTTTTCTAGTGAGAAAAAAAGAGCTGCCCCTGATATCTACAAGCAGGCTCCATGCTCACAGTTAGGCCATGTTCTTTCCCTATTGAACTTTTAGCAGAGCCTTCCCTAAGCCTTTTCTTGACCCTGGAATTGACAAGTTATTCTGCATTTGGAAGTAAATCCAGTAACTGTGTTGAGAAAATCTTTGATTATGTCTTTTTCTTACTTCCTCAGAGATGGCTCCCTCCATCCAGGACTTCCCAGCCTCTGAAACTGTGAGCTGAATAGATAGATATGTTGTCTTTATAATATAATTACATAGCACGTTGTATTTTGTTATAGCAGCAAGACGTGGATTAAGAAACTTGAACTAGAGTGAACCAAGAAGTCACCTGGCCTTACTCCTGTTGGTTGCCTTCAGTTTAATCATCCCCACTTTCTGACCATATGCAGTATCCTCTACTGCTTTATTGGTCTAGTTCTGGACAGTGTGGGTACCCTCTGAATGCTGGGAGCCTTTTCCAGAGAGCACCAACAGGCCAGCCGGAAGGGACTCAGAAGATGAAAAGAAGGACAAGGGAGAAAACTCTGCTGAGACCAAGACTCAACTGCAGGGACTGAAGGCCAGGGGAGGAAATGGTGCCCTGATGAGCCCAGCTAAGGGTGAGGAGGCTGGGAAATACCCTTTTCCACTCATGTCCCAGCTGGAACTGTGGGGACCATAAGCATCCAAACCCACACCTGTCTTCAGGCCCTTCCATAATGCCAGGAGCCCAGGACGCTGTGTCCGAGTTCCCCTGGCTGCAGGAAAGATTCGGAGGGTGACTCACTAGGGCAGGGGATGCACAAGCCCCTCCCTAGGCCGCTGTCTTCCCTGGCAGGTTCTGAGGGAGGCTCACTGTGAGATGCTGGTCTGGGTTGAGTGGAGGGCATGCCTGCACCACAGGAGCCCCAGGGCGTGGGGACAGAATCATACGGCAATGTGTCAGGCAGCAATGCTGGCCTCTCTGACTGTCCTCACACCCTAGGGTGGCCCTGGAGGCAGAGTCCTTCCCTGTCCCAGTGTTCCCCTGTACATGCAGGACAGCACTCCCCTGGAGTGGAAAGAGCAGAATATGGGGGCCTGCCCCTCACCTGGGGGACCCAGACCCCAACAGAGAAAGGACTTCCCGGCAGGGACAAGAGGGGCGAAGGGGCTGCTGGAGCTGCTGCTCTCCATCCTGGAGGCCTTCAGACCTGGGCAGCTGCATCCACCTGCCCTGAGCCTTGGGGGGTGCTCCATGGAGAGACTCTGATAGAGGAGAGTCCATCAAGGGGCCTGTCAGTGAACCCAGCCGCACCAGCACTGTCCAAACCCTACGGAGAAACAGGTTTGCGGGGAGGAGGCTGCCAGCCAGGGGAATCTGTGCGAATGGAGGTGGGCAGCGAGTGAGCCCAGAGCCCTGCTGGCCTCGGAGCAGAGGACTCTGGTGGCAGGAGAAGGAACTGTGCCTACTGTCCTCTCTGCTGCCGTGGCAATAGGGTGGCTTCTGAGGACAATCGCATTTTGGTGAGGAAAATGAGGGAAAAGTAACGGGTGGAGAAGCACAGGGGGTGGTCAGTTGCACCTGGGAGGAGGTCTCAGGAATGGTTGGGAGGCTCTGCCCAGCCAAGCAAAACCTCACACGGGGGACAGACCAGGCTGTGCCATGGGCCTGCCTGAACAAGTCTGCTGAGGAACTTCCCGAGCCCTGCCAACCTAGTCTATGTCCTGCTGACGCTGGCCTTGGTCAATATGAATGGGTGTCCTAGGTGTCCTGTCTCACCCTGGAAAGAAATGAGTGCATGTGGAAGGACAGACCCTACATCTTTCCAATAAATCCTTCTTTTTTCCCCTTGCTACAGCAATTCCACTGAATTCCCGCCACTTGCAAAGAAAAGAACCCTGATTGGAGCACGCAAGTGACATGTGTGGAGGTCAAAGTGGCATGAGAAAGCCTATCCCTCAAGAAGAGTGCTGCCAGTCATGGCCAGGAAACCACTTCTGGGTGGCGTGACTGGGGAAAACCTCATGGAAGACAGTACTAAGGTAGGCACTACTTCTAGGACACTGGCCACAGGCCAGGCAAATGCAAATATTTTGCCTGGATACCCTTCATCCTCCATCAGGCTAGAGTGCCAGAGTCCAAAATGGCGATGAAGATTCCCAGCTGGGAAATGGTAGCAGAAGGTGCAGCCCAGACAGCTGACTGCCAAGCTTGGGCTCTTGGAGGCTGCGTGCTGCCTGCCCAAGGGGAATTACATCATGGCACTGAGACCCTGGAACTTGGCAGGATCTCTGATGCCTAGAAGAGGGTTGAGGTGTAGGTGGAGAAAAGATGCTGAGGAGCCTACCATGCCCATGCTTGCTGGGGGGGTCCCAGTGACAGCTGGCTCAGCAGTGCAGGTTCCCATTGAACTTCCAACAGTGGCCCTGGGGGCAGAACCCTGAGCATCCACCTTGCCTCCCGCAGCACCCTCCTCACAGTGGAGCTGGGGCTGGATGGAGTCCTGTTCTGGGGCCCTTGCTGGCTCCTCCCTGAGCTTTAAGCATTGGTCCAGGAGACTCCAGGCCTTGGTATGACCACCTTTCCAGGCCTGGAGCTGGGCCACCGCATGGTGGGCCCTGGCTGCCCACTCCCACCGAAGCCACTCCAACACATACATGCCCCACTCCTCTGGACCTTCTTGGAGCACAGAAACCCTCCGGTTCACCTCCTTGGTGAGGATGAGAATGCTCTCCAGAGCTATAAGAAGGTCTTCTGGGCAAGGCCCAGACTCTTGATGTCTCACTACAATTCCCTGTACAGCTTGGATACCAGATACCATTCTTTCTAGGGACCTTTGTGTCCTGGTCTGAGAGTTCTTGCAGACAGAGAACTGTGGAGAAATCGCATCTTGAAAGGCACATTCATACTCTGCATTGATGCCACTGAGGTGGCCAGTCAGGGTCTTGGCTCGGAGGGTGAGCTCCAGGCAGAGAATCTGAAAGCGCGTGGACAGGCTGGGAGATGGTTTGGGGGAGGAGCCTAGGATCTGTGCCACATCCAGCAGAGCATCTCTGAGAATATGAACCTCCCTGCACAGAAAGGAGATCTCACCCTTTACCTGCTCATCCCCACACAGAAGGCCGGACAGACTGGCAGCCTCCTGCAGCCTTTGAGAAACATCTGCTACCTGATCCAACCCTTCCTTCAATCCCTGATGATCCTTTACAGCCTGTTGAAGGGGCAGTAGAAACAGGCCTTGTCTCCCGCTGAGCCTCTCCATGTTCTGGATCAGGTCTTGAACAGCCACTGACCACAAAAGGCATCCATTCTCAATGTTCCCTTCCCAAGATGCAGGAGCTTGGAGACCATCAGAGGCCAGAACCATGTCCAACAGCCATTTGGCATGAATCTCTGCCTCCTCCAATCTGTCCCCGATTTGCAATAGCACTTCTGGATGTCCCAAGGAGTCAGGATCCTTCTTATCCAGATCCTTGCAGCAACTTTTAGCTGCCAGTTGAACCATTGAAGTTAAATTCTGCTGAAGCTCTGTGAATACTGAAATGCTCCCTGATAAATCAGTTTGGGGGTTATGGCAAAAGAGTTGTTGACACAGAGGATACCAGTCACCAGCCGTGGCTACCAAACCCTGCCTGGTTTCCCTGGTCCCCCCAGACAGTCGGAAAGTGGCTTCTAGAAAGCTATCACTTCTAGAAGTTGTGCTATGGGCTGTCTCCCTGACCAGGTCAATAACAGAAGGTGCCAGTGTCGGGATCTCTTGGAGTCTTGTCATCCTCTCTGATCCTGGTGGTCCCTCCCCACCCTCTTGAGCTGCATCTGTGTCTGCACCCTGCTCCAGCACTTGGGTGCAAGTTGAGGCCACTGCCTGGAGGTCCTGGCTCTCTTCAGCAGGAGTGAGTTTGCTGGTGGTGAGGGGAGGAGCAGACCTCCTCTGTGCACAGGTGTTAGGACTCCAGGGGTGAGAAGTACAGTCTTTTGGTGGACAGGGCATGGCCAGGTCACGTTGCCCTAACACAGGGACCTTCTGGTGTTTCCACCCAGGAAGTGAGTTGTCCTGGAGGCTTGGAAGAAGGGTATGAGGCTGTCCCTTAGCTATGTCAAATCTTTGGATTTGGTCTCGAAGAGGGCTGAGGATATGTGGGTGGTTGGTCCCGTCCAACCCCTCTTGGACTTGCTGAACAGAATAGATGAGATGTGTTGCCATGGCTAAAAGCACCTCTCTATCCTGAGAGCTGCACCCACCTGACCTGTGCTGGGTAGCTGCACCCAAGACCAAGGAAGACTGCTGCAGCTGCCAGATCAAAACTCTCAGGCCATTCCGGAAAATGGGATCCGAATCGCGGCCCACATACCTACTCATTACCTGCACTATGTGTGCGGCTCGGCCCTGCAAATACATCACAGACCTGAAAAACCCTCCGGGATCTCCACTCCTCAAAGCCCACGCAAGGAAGTCCAAGTGCTTGATCATTTCCTGAGTGGACACGCTCAAGAATTCAGGAATGTTGAGAACATCATCAAAACAGGCCACGAGGCGTTCGCTCGCCCGAGCCCAGGCCTGAAGCAGGGCCCTCAGGGCCGCGGGGCTCCGGTCCGCACCAGACCCTGCTGGGCCTCCTGAGAACAGCTGGTGCACTCTGGCCACCAGCCCGCCAAGGTCTGCCATGGAGGCCTCCAGGTCTCTACCAGTTTGTCGCTGGGAGCAGCAAACCAAGACCAAGTGGGCCACCCGGAGCATCTGCTCTGCCCGCTCGTGGAAAGCTGCACGGAAACGCTGGAGGCCTTTCCGCAAGTCCTCGCCCGCGCCCGGCGATCCGACTGCAGAAGTCGACAAGGCGGCGCCGACCAGCCTTTGAAGAGGGCTCCGGGTGTCTGTGAACGTGTCCAGGATCTGGCGCAGGAGCGCAGCGCGCACTCCCTGGGAGAGGACGTCGGTGGCGGCCAGCAGCGCCGCGCGCTCCTCGGCGGTCTCCAGCCTCTCCTGGCCGGTCCGCGGGGGTCCGTCGCTCCCGTCTAGGCGCC